ATCCGGAACAATACCAGGACCAATGTTAAAATTTTTTTAATAACTGTATATATATATTTAACGTTAAAAAAATTTGTGGATAGGCCTCCTTAAGTAAATTTTACAAGAATTGTACACAGGAAGTATATAGTAATACATCACCTATATTTAGTAATACATTTGATAGACCAAAATTAAAAAATTCTTGTTAAATCAAAACTATATACCACTTAATTGAAAATAAATGTGATTTAATTACAACCAATTCCGTAATTAACTAAAGCTAAATTAAAATCAATCATTCATCGTTTAGCGTCCAGAGACCCAGTTCTCCAGAGGTAGAACGTTGTTTTCTTTGCCATCAATTTTTTGCGCCAAATTAGGCAATCAGTTGTATCCATTTCATTTAAATTTAGAGCTTTCATGTTTTGCTCGATTGTTTGCGACCAGGACTTTTTGGACGGTCTTTGGGATGTATGCCAGATACTTCAACATCTGCAAGAAAAGTTATGGCACTGTTTCCACTTCGTTTGACATGACCAAGCCACCGCAAACGGTGTTGTCAGCATTCGTCCTTTATATCTTCTAAACCAGCACGACGCAGGATTTCGGTAGATTTGATGTGGTCCTTCAGACTATTTCGTTGCATCTAACAAATTAGAAAAACTAAATAAAAATATACAAAATTATATACAAAATTAGATGGTGGTATCGGGATCAAGCAATGATAGCCGAGATGTTAGCTTTTTTTTGAATATATGCAGATCTGTAATATTTTTAATGTGTCTGAGCATAAAGTTTTGCCAAATTTAGTACCTTAGATTTTAATACTAGTCGTAATAAGTTTTAGGCGTGTTTTACAAGAGTAAAGAATTTGGTTGAGGATGCACGATTTATCGGAAAATTGTTTACGGTAATATGCAAGTTATTAACAAGATTAGTGAGAAATTTAGATTCAAAGAAATTTGAGAGCATTTAGAAAGATTGAGAATTAGTTTGTTGCAAGAAAGCCAGTCAGAAAGTTGAAAGAACACAGGTTATGTTATCTGAGCAGTCGGCAATGTTATCAGGGATGAATAAAAAATTGGTATCTTCTGCTAACAGTAAGCATTTAATTACTGAAAATACCATATGAATGTCGTTTATGTAAATTAGTAAGAGAAGAGGGTCTAGAATTGATAGTCTTTAGGAATTTGTAACTGTCTAGGATGACATTGATAACGCTGTGAGAGCCACTCCACGAATACCATGCCAATGCAATTTATTAAGTGAGATATTGTGGTTAATCACTTCAAAAGCCTTTGAGAGGTTTAAAAACAAGCCAACTGAAAATTTTTTTGTCGTTGAGTTTAGATAGGATATGATGAACGTAATCAAATACGGCCAGTTCAGTTGAGTGTCCCGGACGAAAACCGTATTGATTGTTGCTGATAATTTCATTAATTTCAAAGAAAAAATAAAGTCGAATATAAATTCTATTTTCTAGTTATTTCGATGTAAGGGTTAAAAGATAAATGGGTCTATATTTACTGATGTTAGCTTTATCTCTCTCTTTTTTAAAGAAATCAGGATGACTTTAGAAGTTTTATAGCAATCCGGAAAAACTTTTGAGCCTAAAGAAGAGTTTAAAATGTGCAGAAAAAAGACTGCTTTGTAGGTTATTATACTTTTAATTATAAACATATTAAGACCGTCATATGAATAATATTTCTTGTTTTTCAAATTTCGTGTTAATGCTAACAGCTCGGAGCGAGAAGCTGGCTGCAGAGAGATATTATGTGGATTAGTAGGTCCCGTGAAGAATATATAATAGCAGGGACGGATGGTATATTAGAAAGAAGATTTTGTAATTGTTTATGAAACGCTCACTGAAGTGTCCACACGTTTCGCATTTGCTTTGTACTGTATTGTTATTGATAGTAAGTTTTGATATTTGCTGTGAAGAAGAATTGGCGTTTAAAGCTTGCTTTATGAATATGATGACAATGAAGATAAAAATGGATTTACAATGGTTACTGAAGATGATGACGATGATGATGAAGTTAAACATGAATTAACAACAGTGGATAAAAAAGACGAACACGACGATGAACATGATGATGACGACAACAATGAAGATGAACACGACGATGATAATGAAGATGAAGATAAATGGTCAGTAGTAGGTGAGTATAATGACGACCACTGTGATTAACATGAATTAGCAATAGTAGATGTAGATGACGAATATAAACATGAATTTATAACAGCCGTGGAATATGATGACAGTGGCGACAACGATGAAAATGATGAATATGAGCTTAAATTTATAACAGCAGTTAAAGATAATGACAGTGACGACCTTATAAAGCATAGATGACGTGGTTGATTTGTTCTGCTTTTTTGATTTTACTAACGTGAACTCTTAGTCATTTTGTGATTCGTTTAGATATTTGACTCCGCTGTATCAGCCCAAAATAGGTTATCTCTATCACTTATGACGTTGCTGCTACCTTCGTTGCAGATGCTACCTTCGTTGCAGATGCTACCTTCGTTGCAGATGCTTCCGTAGAAGTCGCTGTTGTTGGGGCCAACACCGTTGTTCGTGCAGTATTTGTTGTTGCTGCTATTGTCGTTATTGATAGCGGAATTATTTTTTACCGTCGAACTAATTTTTGTTTTGTACCTTTTCTGCGCCGTTAGTAAAGATTCCGAAACTATTTTATTCATTGTAGACATATTTCCAGTGCTATGATTATTTAACAATTCAATTGTGTACACATTTTGTACGTTTAATATTTTTTTATTTCTTTTTTTTAATTTGCCAAAATTAAAATTTAGTAAATTGATAACAATAGGAATTTTTTTTAGATGAATTACAAACAAAATACGGACATCTGTCCTTTAAATTGTTAGATTTAAATAAATTAATAATAAAAATACATTTCAGTAATTTGTCCTTTTTAGTGTTATTTCGCGTAATGAATTTTTCAAATTTATCCCATTTAAAATTTTCTAACTATTTAGAAATTTTAAAGATGTATCAATTTCCTCCGAATTATAAAAACCAGCGGTATTACTAAACAAAACATTCGTTATCGATATATATATATATATATATATATATATATATATATATATATATATATATATATATATATATATATATATATTCATTTAGCCATATAGCCAAATAGCCATTTTGACAGGAAATAAAAAAATACATATTATTGTTATTATTATTATTATTATTATTAAGGACAATATATTTACCGCCCATTCAATGTTCTCACCGGTGCTCTCAAAAATAAAACTTATTTATATATGTGGCAAACAAAATAGGTAAAAAATCAAATTCAATGCAACTTCTACGAAAATAACATTTTTTTTATATCTTCTTTAAATGATTCGAGATGAAGCCCAGATTTTCTTAGTGATGCAGTGAGACTGCTCCAAACAGTGGGACCGGCAATTGCAATATTACGTGATCCAATCTGTAACTTTGCCACTGGCATCCATAAGAGATTCGTATCATCTGACTGAAGGCAGAAACTAGATGCCGTCCCTTTTCTGGTAAATTTATTAATTATGTAGTCTTTTGACATTCCGTTTAAAGCCTTGAACATGATCACACCAATTTTAAAGATTATCCTCTTATCAATTGTCAACCAGTGCAAATCACTCAAAATTGTTGTAACGACAATTACAGTAGCTATAAAGATTATCTTCTTATTAACAGTAATCCATCCGAAATGTAATAAACTCATGCACCATAGTTTCCAAGGTTGATCTATCCAACCAGTGCTTAATTCTATATAAATTCCGGAGGTAAGAGATGTATGAAACTGATATCATCTTTATATGATCCTTCATCAATAATCTACTAGCAAGCAATACTCCCAAATTGGTAGCAGCATGAAGAAACGGTATGTTAACGTCATTTACTGTGATGGACTTTACATTTAATTTCACCAACTGCTGCCATGTGCCAACCGGAAGCAGCTGATTCTTGCACTGATTGAGTCTCAATGAGTTACATTAATCCATTTTCCAGCCTCTGTTAAGCAATTGGCAAATTTATCAACCTCAGCCTTGAAAAATCAAGGATGACCCGTCATCGATATTTGAATGTCATCCGCAAATGCATGGCAGGCAAATCCATGATAATAGAAAATTTTAAGTACATCTGACATATATAATATAAACAGAATAGGTCCGAGAACGGATCCCTGATGTACCCTTGATTTGACCATTTTGACATCAGACAGCACAATATTGAACAAGATCTCCTCTGTTCGATCCGTCAAATATGACTCAAACCACGCAAAACAGTAAGGACATGTGTCGGTGAGTTTTTTTAACTCACTTTCTGTGATCACAAGAAACGATGAAAACCAGCAATCATTTGGTGGCCTACATCTTTCATTCAACGAAATGGAGTTAACATCTGTTGTCTCAATAATCTGATCAACCCTGATTTAATCGAAACAATTAACTACAAACTACTTAAAAAAATGCAGAGCAATCAAAAATACAACCAGCACGTATCGAAATCATCGAATATATATAAACACACACACACACACACACACACACACACACACACACACACACACACACACACATATATATATATATATATATATATATATATATATACATATATATATATATATATATATACATATATATATATATATATATATATATACATATATATATATATATATACAAAGGTTAAAGATCTGTTACACTCTTTCTAGGTTTGGAAGAATGAACAACACGCCACAATCATAGTATATAAATAAATGCTAAACGACGCACTCCATACAAAGCGTGTGATAAGAAGAACTTAAAAATTTGTCATATTCGAATGGAACTCTGTCACTGCGAAACAGAATCAAGTGACCTTATTCACTAGGCTATCACGCCGGCCGCCCATTATATATTATTTTATTTAATATATATATATATATAATGAACGAGGTTTTAATAACACACTTATGCATGGTATTTTATTTAGTGATTTAATTTTCCTGCAGAGATCTTCGATTCAATCATATTGAAGAGATCCTTCCTGGTGTTTTCAAAAATCTGAAAAAGCTTAAAACATTGTTAGTTTGTTAGTTGTCTTTATCCATCTACTAATTTATTTTTCATTTTTATAGCAGTATATATCAATTAAAATTTCAGTTCAAACAAATTTTATTTGGTATTATTTTTATTTATTTATTTAAATAAAATGGCTTGGGCATGCACTTGGCCAACTATTTAAAATAAAAGAACAGTCTCGACAAAAATTAAAGAAATAAAACAGTTACTTAATTAACAATCAAGAAAATGAAAGTTGACAGGTCATTTCAAAAGCTAAGATGAAAACTTAAACAAATTTTAAGAATAGCTAACGTCGATTAAAATCGATAAAGTAACAGTAACAGTCAATTACATATATAGAAGAAATTGAAAATATTCAAATAGAAATTAATAAATTTATAATGAACGTGCATGAATGCGGATGAGTGTGTACGAGTGCTTATTTGTGCATACCAACGTGTGCGTATGCTTATAAATATGTGTGAATGTGGACATATGTGTATACGAAAAAGCATGTAAACACTCTTGTATGAAAAAGCATGTGTCTGTATATGTATATGTGTATTTATATATCTACTTGTACTTACATGTCTATGAATCTGTCTCATTAACTTGATGACATGTTAACTATTTTATTATAAACTGAAGAAATAAACTAACATCTAAGTTTATTTTTCGTTAACTTGCTAACAACTTTTTAAGTTATGTAATATTTTGTCCTTATTTATCACGTTATATATTATGTGTTTTTCCTACTCAAGTGTGCATCAAATTTTTATTTTCAAAAATACTGTAGATCATTGACTACTTGTGTTTAGGTGGCTGTGCTGGTTGAACTTCTTAGTGAACTCGGTCGCAGTCGTCCTGTCTTCTTATTATTAATTTTGTTTTCTTTATTAATTTTGAAGAAAAATAAAAGATTGTCATTATTACTCTTATCAAACCATGGAGAATTTGGTATGCCGAAATTAGTTCTCTTATTCTTTGGTGTGCTCGGGAGGGGACGTTTAATTTTTTTAAATCTTTCACTGTTTTGAAGGAGTAAGCAAGATTTTAATATTTTTGTTGCTTTTCTTTGTACCATTTATAATTTTTTTATGAGGCCTAATCTGTATGGGTTTCAAACTTGAACACTAAACTTCAATTGTGAACGAACCAAAGATTTGTTATTGTTGTGGTTGTTGCTACTGAGGTTGTTTTTTGTTACTTTTTTGTCACTTCATTACCTATGAAAATTTTTTATAAAAATTTATTCAAAAAAAAATTAAATAAGTTTTGAAACATTTGAAAATGTCATGCTATTGTAGTCATGAAAATTGATTATAGTACAAATATGAACAAATCTTTACCTTTATGAATGAAAACAAATAAATGTTTATTTAACTTTTTTGTAAATAAATTTAAATGTATATTTTTTCTTAACATTATAAATCTTTTTAAAATTTTTTGCGTTTTCGTTGATGACATACATGTTTTATAGAGTTATCATTGTCGTTTACTCAGTTAATAATTTATTTTGTTGTGCTAGTTTTTTTTATGTTTTTTTTCTGCATACGCACGATAGATAGGCGAATCTGAAGAGATGAAAAATGACTTCTGGGCTGCGTACTCTGACACCATCTCAACACAACTAAAACCTGAAACAATCCTGATTGGAGGCGATCTCAATGGCCACGTTGGAGAAAAAACAGATGGTCTGACAACGTACATGGCGATTTTGGCTATGGAGAACGGAATGAATATGGCAAGCACAACCTTGAGTTTGCTGAAAGTCACGGGTTTTGTTTACTGAACACATTTTTTAGAAAGAGGTTGGAACATCTCATAACATACAAAAATGGACAATCAGCCACGCAAATTGATTTCTTTGCTCTCAAGCAACAACACCGAAGGCTGTTAAAAAATGTTAAAGTTATACCTGGCGAATCATGTGTCGCCCAACATAGACTCCTTGTGGCAGACCTGGTTATTGAACTGTTACAACATAAGTCTAAACAAATGCCTCGGAGAATCAAAACGTGGGAGCTGAAAAGCAATATTTATCGAGAAAAATTTCAACAGATTATCAATTTAGTTTCCTAGCGGGGAAATCAACAATTGATGCAATTCACATTCTTTGGCAACAGCAAGAGAAGTACCTCGCAAAGCATGAACAACTATCACACATTTTTGTAGACATTGAAAAAGCATTTGATCGAGTTCCCCGTGAAGCAATCAGGTGAAGTCTACTTTGGCAACTCTTTCCAGAATATCTTGTTCGACTTGTGATGGAAATGTATACGAATACTAAGACTCTTGTCAGCAAAACGGTTGGAAACACAGATGCATTTGACGTCGGCGTTGGAGTTTACCAAAATTCGGTTCTTAGTCCACTGTTATTTATAACTGTGATGGAAGAAATCACAAAGCCGATATGCACCGGTTACATTTGAAATCTAATATATGCTGATGATATCGTTTTAACAGCCTCGTCTGAGCAGAATGCAGCACAAATGTTTAAAAATTGGAATACCAGACTCGCCAATCATAGGTTCAAAGTCAACATCAGCAAAACCAAAGCAATGAACAGTGAACACTGGTGAACCCATCCAATCCACAGCTACTGGACGATGGCCCTGTTCAGTTTGTAAAGCTGGTGTAGGTAACAATTCAATCAAGTGTCAGCTGTGTAACCAGTGGTATCACAAACGTTGTTCAAAAATAATTGGTACTTTATCTAAAGTGTCCATTTTTGTTTGTCCTGCTTGCATCAATCCACAACAACAAATTCGAAATAGCAATGTTTTTGAAGCCATCAAGGTAGAGAAAGTCACATCGTTTCAATATCTAGGGAATGTTCAGGATTGTACTGGAACAGCTGAAGCTGCCGTTCGAGCACGCATACGTGCAGCCTGGAATAAATGGCATCTCCTTATCTCTATATTGATGCGGCGTGACATCCCACTACCACTACGATCAAGACTTTATAAGTCTGTGATACGTTCAGTGTTGTTATATGGTGCAGAAACATCGCCAATGACAACCAAACTGGAACAACAACTTCAACGAACTAACATGAAAATGCTCCGATGGATGCAACGAATTAGTCCGAAGGACTTAATAATTAGGAATTGGGAATTAATCTGAAGAACCAGCGTCTTGCTGGTTTAGATTATATAAAGGACGAATGCCGGCAACACCGTCTACCGTGGTTTGGTCATGTCAAACAAAGTGGAAACTGTGCCATAACTTCTCTTGCAGATGTTAAAGTACCTGGCACACGTCTCAAAGGCCGTTCAAAGAAGTTCTGGTCGCAAACGATCGAGCAAGACATGAAAGCTCTAAATGTAAATGAAATGGATACAACTGATAGTCTAATTTGGCGCAAAAAATTATGGCAAAGAAAACAACGTCCTACCTCGAGGGAACTGGGTCTCTGGACGCTAAACGAAGATTGATTGGTTGAATATGTTGGTTTTTAGCTCTAACATTAAACTAATTATATTACTGGCTGTGAAATTAGATCGATTGTGACAAGTGTTCTGTATTATTTTCTTGTGGCAATTGTGCATTTATTATGTATTGATATATATATTTTGTATGACGGTCGTTGGCTTTGCTGCGTAATGATTTTTATTTGCCATTAACCAGTATCACATGCTTATTTAATAATCTTATTAAAAAGTATTATTTCTTTTCTCAATTTTTGATGTACGTTTCGCAGAAGTTGTTGTTTTCTTGTCTGGATTAGTAGTCTGTTAAGGTCTTCTGGTCAGATTTATCAATAAATGAATAAATAAATTTAAAATTTTTATTCACCATCAGGTTGTTAAACAATAACAAAATATCACATTTGGATGACAACACATTTGAAGGATTAACAGAACTTGAAAATTTGTAATTACTTTTCATTTATAACACATATTAATATATATTTTAGGATTTTGTTTAATTTTTTTACCTATTATTCACTACAGACAACTTCAAAAAAATGAAATTTTCGAAATTTCACCTATGGCTTTCAAGAGTCTAAAAAATCTGGAACAAGTGTAAGTAACGCTATTAATATCGTTTCTATTCAATTACGTTTAATTTTATTTAAACATTTTCAGACATTTGCAGAATAATCATATTGAAAGTTTAGACAAAGATACATTCAAATATTTCCCTAAACTAACAATGATGTTAGCAATAATGAGTTTAAAATAAGATAAATCGATTTAACATTTTTCAAATATTTTGATAAAAATAATTCAGATATCTGAACAACAACGAGTTAGAGACGCTTCCAGCACAAATATTCTCTCTGAACAAACAAATAAAAGTGTACGTTTTTTATTCCTGGATTTATAAAACATCGCACTTGAGTAGACTTCGGATACTTATATCATATTTATTGATAATTTTTATTGCAGTCAGTTAAATTCAAATCCATTTATATGTGATTGCCAAATAGCTTGGTTTAAGGATTTTTTCAATGAAAATGAAATCAAGTTATTAGAATGTGCAGAACCTCCACAACATAATGGAAAATTGGTGTTTCACGTTCTTAAGACGTTAAACTGCAGTGAGTTGAATGATTGATTAAATAAAATCATTGAATAACTTTGTAAATTTATAAGAAGGTATGCAAAACAGTTATTTGACAGCTTAAAAGTAATGAATATTCTATAACCCGAGTTTATTCGTATCAATATAGTAAATTGATTAGAAAATAAAAAAGTTGTGCCATGGTCCATAATGGTTGAAAAAAATTTGGTTGACTTTGTTTCAAGCTTATAAAAAGCTGTAGAATGTTTAACCCGAGGTAGATTCCCTATTGACTATTTTGTCTAATTTTGTTGAAATGATTTAGTTTGCATTAGCTGTCATTAAACAGTCTATAAATTTATTTTATGTATTTTCATGTATAAAATATAGCCTCTGACTATCATGTCTAGCTCCTGCCCTTCTAGAAGCATAGACTGTTTTTACTAATAAAAAATAGGCGATTGCCTGGCCAAAACCGTCTACAAGATTCATTCAAATATCACATTTAAAAATGAGGCAAAGGTTATGTTATGCTAAAAAGTTTAAATGTCCGGGAGAGGAGGCCCCCTTTTGAAAGGAGGCATTTTGCCCTTGCCTTATCCTGCACAGACCACTTTCACTTTGGAAACGTTTTTCTTCTAATGGGATGATTGGTAAAAAATTTTGACTTGTGTAAAAAGGAGAGCCAACCTCATAGATGCCTCTGGACTTGTTTGATGTCCAGTAAAAACATCAAACCACAAACAAAGATTATAATCTACAGAGCTCTCATACTCACATGTTTTTGTTTTACATGTTTTATGGTGGTAAAAGTACCTGATCGGTCGGCCAAAAAAGCGTTACAAAAACTGTATTAAAAAACAACTTGAAAAGTTATAAAATTCGCTCAAATGAACTAGATGCTAGTGCCAAGGACAAAACTGGCCGGACGTTATGTACATACTGTCTTGCCTTATATATATATTATATAAAACAGGAATAATCAACTTTGAATACCATCTACATAACACCCAGTGGCGGATCTAGCGGGCGCCGAGGGCGTTATTTTTGTTGGTTAAAGGTAAAAAAAGGGTTAAAATTGTTTTAACGTAAAAAGTAGTGTTTTTGAAGGGAAAATTGGCATTATAAGTCCATCGCAAAAAAGTTGTCCCCCCGGCCATCGATTTTTTAGATTGGAAATCTCCCCATCTCCATCCCAGTCGCCAACTTTTTTAAAAATTCTCTTGTCCACCCCGGTTGTCGTCAAATCTTTTTCAAAACCTTAGCACCCCCGGGAAATTTGTCTAGATCCGCCACTGTAACCAACTATAAACTAAAGCACACCGACACCGTAACGCGTCTTGTAAACCGGCTTGTCAAAGAAAATGCTGTCTAACGCCAGCGCTTCAATCCTTACATCGTTGTAAAAAAATTCGGAAAATTGGTCAAATTTAATGTGAACGATTTGATGAACAAAAGTGATTGCTTCAAACCAATCGACGAAATCTTAACTGAAAACATAAAATTTCCATTCAAAACTGTCGCTGATATTTACAACCTAAAGATTTTTAGAAAAACTCTCATTTAACATTTACCATATAATTTAGCACTGACCAACAAATGGCGTTTCTAGACCATTTAATCAAAAAAAAAGAAAATCAGCTAGTTACTAAGGTATACTTGAAACCTTCAAACTCATGCCACGTGCTCAACAATATTTTTGAGTGTCCAAGCCTCCCTGAAATAACCTCGTAAAAAATTTTTTCCGTCGTGCTTACAGAATTTTTTCAGACATAAATATATTTTAATTAACAACAATTACTCCAATAAATAAATTGATAGTAGTATTAATAAATATCTAACAAAAGTCAATAATTCTGCAAAAACAATTATACCTCAGTATTACCGGCTCCAATGCACGATAATTATAAAGTCGACAAATTACAACTCAAACTTATCATTAAGTATAATATCTTGATTTTCAACCCCGACAACCGACTAAAATTTATAATCTATTGTAATATCAACCGAATGTCTAATTTTATTATGGACAATAACAACAATCGACCTCCGAATAAGCTTGAGAAGTCAAATACTGATTACATGTCTTATGCCACACAGCGATGTGAAAGTTGCATCGTCATTCGCGATCATGTAGAGCAGGGGTCTCAAACTGATTCCTTTGGTACTCCCCAAATCAATTCCGATTCTCTCCTGTTAGATTCCTTGCAACCATTAATGATCAGTTCACATCTTGACTGGAATCATTAATGCGCTGAACCACATATTTTATAGGAACTTGGAGACATTTCAAAAAGAACAACTGTATCAAAAGCAGCGCTATTATCAAGTAATGCAATAAGTACAATTTAGTTATCATAATTCTTTTTATTCTTGTTGAGGTAGCTAATTAACTGATTAGCAATCACTTTTTCTATAATCTTGATCTTGGGGATTATTGATAAAAGGTGGGAAACCAGGCCTCTTTAATAGATATATGACATTGGTTTTATTTTGCGAAGCTGAAAGTACTGATTATTTGTTACAAGTATTTATAGCTGATGGAGGAAAAGTAACAGCGATTCAATAACTTCCTTTACCGGGTAGGCAGGTGCCGACCGTAGAGTTAGTAATCAACCGGAATAGGTTTAAAACTTTCAAGCCGACAACCGATCATGTTGAAAACCGTTAACTGATCTGTTAAACCACTATCTGACATTATCGCTGTTTTATCCTTGTTATAGTTCAAGTAAAAAGTTGCTGATAATTCTTCTTTCGCAAAAGTGTCAAAACTGTATTCCATAATACTCTAGGATTTGTTGATTTTGACGCTATCACTTGTAAACATTAAATTCATGCTTTTTTTCAAGTGATTATCTCCAATTCATGAAAATGTTGTGACATTTTGGCATTTTAGGAAGCAAAAGATTTTTCGAGCTTTTTGCATAATTCAGTGGCACTCATTGTCAAACCAACAATGGCAATATATTGTCATAAATGGTTCACACCATATATATATATATATATATATATATATATATATATATATATATATATAACAGTATATATATATCACCATATATATATATATATATATATATATATGTATATATATAAATATATAAATATATATATATATATATATAGATGGTTCGCACCATTTATATATATATATATATATCTATGGGTGAATGGGTGAAAATAGTTGATCTGCTATACAGATACGTTGACTAGTATGAGTACATAACGAACACCAAACCAAAGGTGCATTATTGTAAACACTTAACGACGAATCTACATGACAGATTAAATATTTTCACTCATATCTTTTACTCAATTTTTGATTTATATATGTGAAATTGTGACGATTGCGATGATAATGAATGCGTTTTTGAAGTGTACTGCCTGTATATATAAAACATTTCTATGTATGTATGTGCGTACATGTTATTTGCTATGCTATATATGCGACGCTTGCTACGTGCTTTTCTATATATAGGGAGTATAGAAAAGAGTATAGAAGGAAGTATAGAATTTTCTATGATGTGGAAAGCGTTATGTTATATATATCACAAACTCTATTACACTAATGATTGTAAAGGTTACCGAAAAAAGCTTTTTTGTAAAGGTATATATGAAAATAATGAAAATAATTCGGAGTTTTATTATTAATTTGAATAAATTGAATAATATCAATAGAATAATTGTTTGAAAAATTGCAAAACTTAGTAACAAACTCAACAATGCGGAAAATGCGGTGATACTTCGATATACGACAGTTTTTTTTGTTAGAACCCAAATATATATATATATATATATATATATATATATATACGTATATATATATATATTTATATATACATATAAATAAATATATATATCATAAGAAGCATTGAAGGCGTTTGTTTGTGCGTATTCTGGGCCAGATGTCTGAGCGAAGGCACATACCAAGATTTTATCGTTGACAGTTGCAGGTCAACCATGTTGAATAATTGCCCATTTTAATGTTTTCAAAAATTTTGTCCTTCCCGTGTTATGTTTTGTTTTATGTTCTTGGACACTACACGCTAGATAAAGTTTAGTGTAATGTTATAATCTAAATTAGAATGAAATAAATATTTAAAAAAGTTTGAATAGAAAAATAAAATAAAAAAATAAATATTTGTTTTATTTTAATTTAAATTATAATATTACACTAAACTTAATTTTTTTTTGTCTTATTTTACTTCAATTCATTTGATTTCGTTTTAGGCAATATTGTTTATTTTATTTTTTAATATTTTTTGTCAGTATATACGCGTAAAGTTCAAGGCTCTGAAGACGGCGCTCACGCCGAAACTGCCCTCTTAGCCTTGCTATGCTAAATAAATACGATTTTCAACAATTTCGTGCATTTTCAAAAAGTTTATCAACACTAAATGGGCAAAAGTTTTAAGAATATATATATATATATATATATATATATATATATATATTCGGAATCGAAATATGGCCGTATTTGCAGCATGAATTAGAAAAATAAGTTTATTTTGAATTTTAATGAACTAAACGTTCACCAAAAAATTTTAGTGAGAAAAAACGAACTACAAACATATTAACGCCAAACATTCGGTAGAATTTATAGAATATTGTACAAATTATGGTCTATTACCAACATATATATATATATATATATATATATATATATATATATATAAACTAACTAATTGCATTATGGTTATACCATTTAAGAAAAGCCTCGAATAGCATCATCGCCACAAAACTTGAATATTAATCCTGGAGAAGATGCTTCTTTTCAATGTTTAGCTGATGGAGAGCCTCAACCTAGCATTCAATGGTTTCACAACAAGTAAAATTTTGCTATAATTTTATTTTTTGTTTAATTAAAAGCTACCAGGTTAGGCTGCACCATAAAGTAAAGGTAAAGGTGTCTGGCCCATCACGTGCAAAAGTGTGTGATGTGTTTATTTGTCTTTATTTACATACATTTTGTATGTTTTAAGTATAATAATGCGCTTTTCTCGCTTGCCATGCCACTATATTAAAATACATTACCAGTATTATTATTACAAATTAATGATATAATCAGTACTCTCAAAAAGTGAATTTTTTTCGATTTTTTAACATTTTTCATTGTGAACGATGACATTATTTTTAATTTTTATAGGCATCATTGCCGTTTATGTCTTTCATCATTATTGTCACTTTTTGTTCAGTTAATGATGTTGTTTATTTATCTGCTCTTGTTTAATATTAACGGGGATGATTTCAGCAATTTTGATTTGAGTTTGGTTGTAATTTGAACATATTATACTGATATTTTATGGCTAGGAAATCTGGTGTAACCCCAATTTTATGCACGGTTACCAAGTGAGTTTTTGTGGCGGCTTCCTTTTGTACAAAGTGGGACAATGATAATGTATCACTTATAGGATAGAATGAAATGTGTCTTTGTTATTTTTATTTTCAATGTAGAATAATCATTAGGAATTTTTATCACTGAGCGCGAGTCATCCCCCAATTTTTCTAAATTAAAATGTTGGCTACGTTGACTCATTCAATAATGGCATTGTTGTGTAATGATTTTTGTTTATTCTCAACCAGTATAGCAGTATCATATGCTTATTTCCTACGATCATTTTTTACGTACCTCTTGCCTCCGAATAAGGCCCTCTGGTCAGATTTATAAATAAATGTCTAATTATTGCGTTGAAATAACATTAACTTATAACAACTTATGAGCGTTTTACTTAATTTTCGTTTACCAATTATACAAATGTAAGCATAAAAGTAAACTTTGCTAGTAAGACAAGTAAATGTGACAAATTTAATATAGAATACTAGAAAGTGTTACAGCAGGCAAGACAATAGTATAAAATGATAACGAAAAATAAATATCAGAGAAAATATGTTTAAGCATAAAAAGTATGGAAAATAAAATAAAGTAATGGTTTAAAAAGACAAATAAATAAAATAAATTATTTTCTCTAAGTGTTTTACTTGTTGGTGACTTCATCGTTCATGAAGAAAAAAAGGATGATCCTCACGTTGTCGAATTACTTGAAGTTTTTGAAATGTTTCGTCTGGCGAATCGTATCAATCAACCAAGACTTAATATGATTGTTGGCACTGATGATTTTTCTGTGTGCGACAGTATGATTTTTTTTAGTGGTTTCATTTCTGATCACAGTTTGATCCATTTTAAAATTTCTTTTAAAAAATTCAGATGTGCGTCGTAGTTTGAAAGAAAATCAACTTTTTCAACAGGCATTCATTTGAGATATCATGATTTTAATATGATTCCAAATAATAAAACACAATTGTAACCAATTGTAAGAAAACATTTTTTTTGGGCCAACACCTTGAGAATTTATTGCCAAATTCATTGAGAGAACCGGGATTAAGTGTTGGCACATTGAAAAATAATTTTAAAACATACTTTTTTTGATTTAATTATGTTTATTATTTCATTGCTTCATTCGTTTTTTCTATTTTAAATTTTTCGTAAACATGCAATAAAAATGTTAATAATAATGAAACGTAATAAATAAATTTGAAACATAAGATTTTTTAAATTAACGAAAATTATCAATTGTGAAAAAACGGAGAGAGATATAATAGGTTAATTTAAAAAAAGATGACGTTGAATAAAACTGAATGAATGAATTTAAATACATATTAACGAATGAAATTTTTTGTGAACTATCTACGACGTCAATTTACAATAAATCAAATACACATAATTATTAGTATATAGACTGCATCTTTGTTAGCAAAGAAATGGGTCATTGATGTGACTTCATGTGGACAAAAAGTCAAATTCTAGACAAACATTGACGATCACAAATTCCACAGACCCACACTCCTGTGCCGCTTCCATCCTGGGTCACCTGTTTTTGCCGTTTCCTTTTGTCAACCAGAGCTGTGATTCGTGCCTGTTCAAAGGAAGAAACCGCCGCCTGTGAGTTCGATCTCCATTCAGTACACTGCTGGGCTTTAGTGCAGAATGTTTTTGGGTCAAGTCCACACTTTTTCAAGTTTTCCTTCAGACCGTCCTTATATCTACGAACCGGGCCACTTGCAAGACGAGCACCCGAGGCCAACTGTCCAAAGAAGACCTGTTTTGGAATTCTTGCATCCGGCATGCGGACAACGTGCCCTGACTAGCAAAACTGGGCCTGGAGCAGCATTGCCTCGATACCCATTTTACCACATCTCTCCAATATCATGACATTTCACACTCTATCTTCCCATTTGATGTGAGCAATAGCTCAAAGACATTTCATGTGGAATTGATCAAGTTTTCGTATAATATATAAACACACATAATCACTTACTTAAGTAAGTATAATTAAAATGACCAGCTGATTTGTTGACATTAAATATTTTTTGATTTTTTAATTTATTAAACACTAATAATAATTCACTGGTGCTTCTGATTTGGATTATATTCTTTTGGATAATAATAATGATAATGATGATGGAAATGATGATAATAATAAAAATATTATTTTGATAGAAAAGACGTTTCATTAGAAAACCGAAGCAAACGTTTTGAAGTACTCGAAGATGGAAGTCTTTTAATAAACCAAGCCACAGTCAGTGACGCAGGTGCATATTTCTGCAGAGCCACTAATTTAATGGGACAAGACGAATCTAACACAGCATACTTAAGCTTCCACGAAGTCAATGTGCTGGGTAAAATTTATATTTGATTTGGTTTTCATTTTCACCCCGTAAATATCAACTTCACGCGCGTGTTTGTCTTCGCAGTACGGCAACGCGTTCTACCTTCAAAGTATTCTATAACAAACGGTTGCATTGTTGTCGGAGTTAAGTTTTCACAGTCTATTACAATGTCTCACAATTTGATTTAAGTAAAATTAACCACTTGGATCGGTTTTAAAAAAGTTGTTTAATATCTCATACACAATACGCAAAACATGAATCACAAATTTGTCTGCTGTTTTCGCGTTTGCAGCTCAAACGAGAAAAGTACGAAAGATAACGAATTAATAATGGCTTTAGTGAATTTTTATTTTTTTGTCCCGATCATAAGATATTTATAATGGGAGCTCCAGTCAGGCCAAAAATATTTTATCCGAGGGCAAACGCAAGTGCATTATATTTTTATTAGTATGTCATTATCTTTGGAGGTATTTAAGAAGATTTAGGAAGTTGATCTGGCAGGCAGAAAGCTATCTTGTAAATACAATTGTGTCTAACTAATAAATTTAAAAAATTTTGTTGGTGATTTTTTTATAAGACCACAACACCACAACAGGTTATAAAATTATGATATAAATTAATTATAATTCACTGTCGACTCATCTGGTTATAAAATTGTAATATAAATTATTAAATAAAATAAACTTTGGTGAATAAATTTTAATATTTACAACAAATGCGGCGAGTACATTTGCAGACTGAGTTTCATTCGCGTTAAACAATTAGATAAGTGAAGGCTGACAAAAAATTCCATATATAAAATTAATTTTATACAGAATTAACTTAATGTTAACAAATTTTTGAATTTTACGTATAAAAAAAATCTTCTTTCCCTTTAATTTTTTTAACGTTTTGGTTGGTTTAAATAAAAAAAAATGTTTTAATTTTATTAAATGATTTTATTACATGATGTTATCATAATTGTAAAAACTTTAAGCTGCACCACAAATAGTCAATCCACCCGAGAACAGAACGGCAATAATAAATGAAGGGGTATCAATGTCATGTGGCACTGTCGGATTTCCTCCACCAGAAATTAGGTGGACCCACACTAATATTAACAACAGAGATAGACTTGTGAATCACGACCCACGATTCACTGTCGACTCATCTGGAACTTTGCATATGAGCAATCTCAAAGTAAATACAAGCTTCAATTTATATAATGCAGATGTGTGGTAAAAGAATATTGAAAAGATTACAATAATTTAAAAATTTTTTAATTAAACGGCTTTTGGATTATAATTTCTTATAGGATATAGATCATGGATTTTACAAATGTATTGCCTCTAACATTGCCGGCAACGCAACAGCTATAGGAAGACTTATGGTTTACAGTAAGTGACGTAATGGTAGCTGAAAGTAATTTCATTTAAAAATATTTTTAAACTTTTTTTCAGTTCCTCCAGAATTTACGACTAAACCAACTGATCAAAAAATAGCTGAAGAACATCCAGTTTTTTTTTCATGTGATGTTATTTCGGAACCTCTTGCTAAAATATCATGGAAAAAAAATGGTTATTATAATTCTACTTTTAAAACACTCAATCATTTCAATTAGCCGTAATCTGCTATAACATAACGGTAATCGTTGTTGAAATAGTTAAAACATGTTTTAGGAATTGATTTGACAAATACCAGAAGAATTAATATAAACCCAAGTGGAACCACTTTAACAATTTCTTCCGTAAAGAAAAGTGATGAGGGAAATTACGAATGTCTTGCCTCGAACTCGGGTGGAGAAGCATCCGCAAGCGCCAGATTAACTGTCATGTCGATATGTGAGCAGCCCATTTATCATTTCAACTTCTTATTACAATTCAATCTTCAATTTTATTTTAATTCATGTGCTTGCTTAAGCCTCTTCTATTTTTATTTTGTTACTTCGTCGCACTGATTTCAATTAAATTTTATTGTTTACAAAAATTAAACTGTGACAGGCACAAGATTGGAAAAAATGTGAAAAAAAAAAATAAGAAAAATATACGCAAACTAAAAATAATGATGATTATATTAAAAAATGATTATTAATTAATATTATTTAAATGAAAAATAATATATTTGTTTTCTTACAATAATGCGGCTCTGCTTCTATGTTATTCCATACTTGTAAATCCAACTTTTATGCCACAAAGGCTGTTCTATGCACACCACACGACGCAAATACGCATTATATGGTATGACAGTCTTTAAGTATAAGACAGACAGTATTCGAACCATGTTAGCGCGCAATAGCCGCGCGAGACTTGATTATCGATTGAGCTAACTCGAGGACCAAATCTGTCTAAAATTAAATAAGTGTTCATTATTGATCATTTAAAATCATAAAATTAAACAAGTAAAACATTTTTACAAATGAATTGATTTTTTAGACTTAATGTGAAAAATTTCTTTTTCAGCCCGTCCACATATTACTAAAAAACCTCTAGACATCAATAACGCAATTGGTAATAGAGCTAAATTTGATTGCGTTGTAGGCGAAGTAGAACCAAAGCCAATTATTAAATGGTTCAAAAACGGAGATTTGAGACCTTTAACTTCAAGTGACAAGTATGAAATAACGGAAAATTCTTCGCTGATTATTTTAGAAATAGATTTAACGGATGAAGGAAGATATGAATGCCGTGCTGAAAATATTGTCGGGTTTGATATTGCTTCTGCAAGATTAACTATAACTGGTACGCATTTTTTACAGAGTATTTTTAAAAAATAGTAATTAACTAAAAAAATGTTTTGTATTAAAAGTATTAATATAAATTCACATTTTAAAATTTTGAAAAATTTATACACTAGATGCGAGATTCCGCTCTATTACAAACCAACATATAAACGATACAGTTACAACTGTTAACAATGGCATTCAAGAAGCTATTGAAAATACAAAAAAAGAATTGTATCAAAAAAAACATCAACCTAAAAGTGGACACGATCTTCTGAAATACAATCGTTATCCTAACAATAAAGCTTTATCGCTTTCAAAAGCTGCAGAGGTTTTTGAAAGTACTTTAGAGCGATTGTACAGTGATATTCATAGTGGCGTTTACTACAACATTGATCCTTCTTTGAGTAAGCCTTGACAATTTTTCTCTTTTCTCAATGGATATCTATAATTTAGTTATTTCTTTCAGACATTACATACAAAGAGTTATTGAATCCTGCTCAATTGCAATTGGTGAGCGATTTGTCAGGTTGTAGGACGCATCGACGCATTATCGAAACATGCGACGATCTGTGTTTTCATAGAAAATATAGAACGTTTGATGGAACATGTAATAATTTTAAAAACGCTATGAGTGGCTCCTCGTTAACCCCTTTGTTACGACTTCTGCCACCAAAATATGAAAATAATTTCAATTTGCCAGTTGGTAAGACGTAACAACATAATGAATTTGTGTTTTTATTGTTATTAACAACTAATCGTTTAAAATATTGTAGGATGGACTAAAAATAAGCTTTATAACGGGAAAAAAATACCAAGTGCAAGAAAAATTTCTTTGAATCTTATTTCGACCAACAAAGTAACAGCTGACGATGAATACACACATATGTTGATGCAGTGGGGTCAATTCTTAGACCATGATTTGGACTTTGTACCAACAGCAGTTAGCAACGCCAGGTGGATGCTTTTCATATTATCGATGTTATTTTTGAAAGTACATTAAATTTTAATTTAAAAAACACATTTTTCAGTTTGTTTTTTGTTTTTATAGTTTTTTTTATAAGATTTGTCAATACTATATTAAGGTAATTAATTTGATATCGGTGGTTGTCATTGATAATCTTTTTTACCACTCTATACGTTTAAGTTAGATGGTTCTAAAACTAAGTAGTATTTGGATACCAATGAAAGAAGTCAATTAAAACCATCAACTTATGACGACCGTGCGTGTCCTCTTTTTAAGACAAACCTATTTTTACTTGCTTCAGCCAGATTGAATTAAAATTTTTATACAAACATCAGCCATTGAGGTATCAAAAGAAGTTTTAAAGATAATTTTTTGAACAAGACAAAACGCCATTAGTGCCTCTGAACCTTAAAAGCTCTTTATAAGTCTACAGTCCATTAATTGTACATACCGACATTATGTACGCATGCTGTTGTTGCCGTTGTTGTCGTCGTTGACCTAAGTCCGGCACCAGCTTATTGGTTCATAGAAGCTGTAGCCAATTTGCAACCTTAACAGGATTTTTCAATTCTGCTGCGTTGACATTTGTATGCATCAAAATCATCTGTTTTTAGAGAAGTGAAATCTCGTTTAGATAAATTTGAAATTGTTGAACCTAACGAAATAACAAAGCTAATACCATTAATGACAGCACAATCTGTGATGTCTTGCCCCATCATTTTTTATTAAAAATTTTTTGATATTCTGACCCTATATTTAGGCACATTATGTAACGTTTCATTAAAGTTTCAATGTTTATCAGAGATTGAGAAAAAAGCTATCCAACTGTCTAAAATCAAAAAATTTGTTCCCTGGCAGGTGACATGAAAATTGACTACTATCAAACTTCACGGGGGTTTATGCAAGGTTGTAATTGTATCTAGCTAATAGATAGCCAAATTATGTGGTAAATGTAATGAAAGAAAGGGTAAGGTTTATATATTTTGTAGTCAGTTTTTTGAACAGTGTCCCTAAGTTTAAAATATAAGGGCGCTTATAAATGTGACACAAATAACAATAACAATTAGTTATTGAAAAAAGGGTTTTATTGGATAGCAGAAGAGATTTAAATTAAACTAGCCAAAATAAGATTTAAACGAAAACGTGTGAATAGTTATAATGAGTCATTTGTTGTTAAGTTGTTGTCTATAAAATTGTATAGTTGTAATTAATGATTATTAAATTAATTACTTTTATCGCCATATATTTTTTAGTGTTTTTTTCACACCCACTCTGATAAAGAAAAGTATTTGGACAAAAATGTTAGTTACATGCCATAATCATAATAATTTCAAATAAAGATTCAGTGATGGTAGATTTTGCAACGAGACATGCAATAGCCAGTCACCATGTTTTCCCATACCCGTGTCTAACGATGATCCTCGTGTACAAAATAGACGTTGCATTGGATTCGTGCGGTCGTCAGCTATGTGTGGATCAGGAGTCACTTCTGCACTGTTTGATAACAATGCTCTTCATCGACAACAGTTGAATATGCTCACTTCATATATTGATGCTTCAAACGTTTATGGAAGTTCGGAAGAAACGGCCATCAATTTGAGAAACAATACGAACGAAAAAGGTTTGCTTCGCATTGGTACGCACAGTGCTTATGGTTTTAAGAAAGAATATATGCCAGCAAATAGAGATGAATTTGTTGACTGTCAGGTATAACGCTTTTTTAATTAGAATTCTTGAATATTCATTTTCATTCATTTAACATAATATTTTAGGTTGATTCTAAAACGGCACACGTACCATGTTTTCTAGCGGGTGACCATAGATCAAATGAACAACTTGGATTATTAGCTATGCACACAATTTGGTTCCGAGAGCATAACAGGTTAGCCACTAAATTGAGTAAGATGAATTCGCATTGGGACAGTGACACTACGTATCACGAAACAAGAAAAATTGTTGGTGCTATTATGCAACATATTACCTATAACGATTGGCTTCCTAAAATTTTGGGCCCATATGGTATGCAAATGATTGGACCGTATAAAGGGTATAACCCATCTGTTAATCCCACAATAGCAAATGAATTTGCAAGTGCCGCATTTCGGTTTGGACACACAATGATAAATCCTGTTTTATCTCGCTTGAACGAAACTTTTCTTCCAATTATATGGGGTAATTTACCTCTTCATAAAGCCTTTTTTGCTCCTTTTCGAATAATTGAAGAAGGTGGTATCGACCCAATTTTAAGAGGACTGTTTGGCGTCGCTGCAAAAAAATTGGTGTCTGGAGAATTTTTGAATTCAGAGCTAACAGAAAAACTGTTTGTTATGGCTAATGAAGTGGCTCAAGATCTGGCTGCATTTAACATTCAGAGAGGTCGGGACCATGGTCTACAAAGCTACAATGCCTACAGAAAGTATTGTGGTATGAAAGAAGCTAAAACTTTTGACGATTTCAAAAATGAAATCACAGATGATTTAATTCTAAAAAAACTAGAAGAATTATATGAACATCCAGGTTATTTATCGATTGATGTTTGTTGAATAAACTTTTGATTTAACTATAACCAAACTGAATCGCAACAGATAATGTTGATTTGTTTGTTGGAGGTGTAGCGGAAAATGTTATGGACAATTCTAGAATTGGTCCCACATTCGTATGTATAATTGCTGACCAATTCAAGAGGTTAAGAGACGGGGACAGGTTATTTTGTTTTTATTGTTAACTTATTCATTGATAATTTATTGTTATTTTTGTTTTTTTTTCAACTAAAGGTTTTGGTATGAAAATCCCGAAATATTTAAACCTACACAATTAGCTGAAATCAAAAAAACATCACTGGCTCGAATCTTATGTGATAATTCTGATTCTATACAGGAAATTCAAAAAGACGTTTTTATTCTTGCCAAATATCCCGACAATTTTATTAAATGTGATTCAGATGAGGTCCTTAAATTAGATTTGAAGCCATGGTTTCAATGTTGCGAAGGTTTCTTAACTGTTTTTATGACTGTTTTAAAATGGTATTTGTAAAGTTAGCTGTTACTCATTTTGTAGAATGTTCTAGATCAGGAGATTTTCACGCAACAAGAAGTAGAAGATCAGTTAATGATGGCGAACAAAAATTACAGTCAACTTTAAATTCTTTACAAAATAAATTAACTGATCTCGAAAGTACAATTAATGATCTTAAGAATAAATATAATCTTTTAAAAGATCAGGTAAATGCGATAATCTATACTTCGAATGATTAGTTTATAGAATGTTTGTGATACCTATTTCATATTTTGTCTAAACTTCAGAGTTTTTATTGTTACTATTTTCTCTAAACTTACATAATTAAATTACATCTAGCAGTACTCAGTTGATAATTCATTTTTAAATGATGACAGTTTTATCAATCAATCAATCAATCAATCAATCAATCAATCAATCAATCAATCAATCAATCAATCAATCAATCAATCAATCAATCAATCAATCAATCAATCAATCAATCAATCAATCAATCAATCAATCAATCAATCAATCAATCAATCAATCAATCAATCAATCAATCAATCAATCAATCAATCAATCATTCAATCATTCAATCAATCAATCAATCAATTAGCTTATAAAGCGCTATTTCCGCTCTGACCTTTGTAAGTGGTGGAGAAGTAGTCTGAGAAATAGCTAGAGAGTTCCAGAGAAGAGGGCCAGAAAAAGCAAAAGCAGATTTAGCAAAAGAGTGTTGAACATGAGTTAAGAAGAAGTGAGAACAAGAAGGCGATCGTAAACCGGGGCGTTTAGGTTCAATTAATTTATCTGATAAGTACTTAGGAAATAATTTAGATTGAGACTCCAGCTAAATGTAAATAATAACTTATTTCAAGTATACACATATAATAGTCCAAACATATCAAGAAATATTCTTACTATGCCAAGCAACATAAAATTTTACTATTTTATTATTAATTCTATCTCTTGCTGGGTTACCACCACTATCTGGTTTTGTTCCAAAGCTAATAGTAATCTATACAGTGGGCTCAGCTTTATCTGAAGTAGCAATTCTTATTGATATTTTATCATGTTTATCTCTCCTATTCTACTTAATAACAAAGGAAACTGTAAATTTACTTTTGAGTCAACACTCTCTTGTATGATATTAGTATTACAAGTACAATTACCTTCCAAGTAATAAGTTTTATTTAAATATTATATATATATATACTATAACTGTTTCAAGTAGTTTCAAAAATCAATAGAGACTCATTGAAGAAATTGCGGGATGAAGATCAAACTCAAAATATGTCTAAATATGACATGAATGTGCAAATTAAAAAAATAGAGATAGATTATGAAGAACACTATTGAGATTAGATGGAGGAAAAGAAGTATAAAGAAAGTAGTTCAGAAGTATAGAGTATAAATAGAAGAGGACCAAGGATAGAACCCTGAGGTACCCCGAAAGTAAGAGTAGAAAAGTTAGAAGTAGAATTATTGAGGACCACAGAAGTAAAACGATTAGAGAGATAAGAAAAAAACCAAGATAGACAAGAACCAGTAATATTTAAAGAAAGATCTAGCAGCCTCAAGAGAATAGTATGATCAACAATATCAAAGCAGAGGAAATGTCTAGGGCAAGAAAAAAAGTAAGATTATTATTGTCGCTAGAGATGAGGATATCTTGTGTATTTTGAGTAAAGAAGTTTTCAATACTGTAAGCAGGACAAGAAACCTGATTGAGATACAGGTAGCAAGGAGTTAAAGTTTAAATATGATAACAATTGATTATAAACTACTTTTTGTTATAGTTTTGAGGTAAAAATAATATTAGTAACAGGTCTATAATTAGATAAAAAGGTAGGATCTAAGAATGAGTTTTTAAGAATAGGAATAACAATGGAATTCTTATAAGAAGTAGGAAATTTGGAGGTGAAGAGAGATAATTAACTAATTTGAGAATGATAAGATAAATTTTGAAGACAATTTTTTAAGTAAATTAGAAGGAAGTAGATCTAGAGAACAGGTTGTAGATGACACAGAATTAATAATTTTGGTAAGTTTTAGAAGATTTATTGGAGTAAATACAGAAAAAGATTCAATAGTAAGTTTAGTAAAGTTTTGGGCATATTCATCGTTTATTTGTTTTAGGCATATTCAACGTCTGCTTTTTGTTCAAAGCTTGTTGTTTTCAAACTCAATTTTTTAAGCAACTTGAAATTTTTTTAAAACTTTTACATGAAAAGTATTGTGGAAAACTTTTACAAGAGAAGTTTCGTTGATAAGTGATATTTTAAGGACGTGCACGTGCAGTGTCATAGAATCATGAAAAACGGTGACAAATAGAATATGAATAGTCTTGGGATTTGACTTTAGCTACAAAAAGTTATGAAAAAATCAATGTTATTTCATCGAAAGACATTAGCCACAAATTTGGCCGCTTTGTAACTTTTCAAGATTTTCCAACTTGGGACAATCTCTCAACTTCTGTTTCTGTTTGCTTAACGCACAACAATATACGTATATTGCCTTGAACGCAATTTGCATGTTATTTTAACATACTGAAAAAACGTTAAAATTTTTAAAGATTACTTTTTAAATGTCTTGAATTCCAATGTTTTGCTACTTATATTTTATAACAATAGAAATTAATGCTCGGTAAATGGCAAACTTTATGAACATGGTTAGAAATTGACAAGTGCAACAGTACAAGAAGTATAGCCACAAATTTATAAAATTATAAAGTTTTTGATTTTGTGGCTAGACAGTTTGTTGTACTTGACTTGAACTGTTTCAATATCTCTCACTGTTACGTATGTGGGACTGACTTTGGGAAACAAAAACGTTTGAAACGAATACTTTTATTTATCATAATTCAAATTTTTATCTCTTCCTTATATATCCTATAGATTTTAAATATAAGCTTAAATTAAACTGGTCTGCGGTCTAACTTAAACCTCCATTTGTTTTTGTACCTTTGCATACTTATATTAAAGATTTCAGAAGAGAGTTAAAAAGTTATTTGTTCAACAAAGTATTTAATCACCGTAATACCCTCTGAGGAATATCATTAGAGTGAATAACATAATAAAAATAATATATACAAAATGTTATTTAGTTCGTTAATTATTTTATATACATATTACTTTAAATGAAATGTTTTTTGAATTTATTTTCGTATTATATATCAATTATGTGCCTTATATAAACAACAAAGTTTAAAAATAATATCATTAATTTTTTTTCTAGATTGAAATACGAAAAAAGGTTTAAGAAAATATCTAAAGCCTACAATAATTATCAGACATTATTTATTTAAATGTTCGGTTTCTGTTTGATATTTAGTTTATATGGAAATATCTTGATCGTTTATTTTATTTGAAATTAATCATAGTAATTTAAATATTAAATTAAGGTAATAAAGTTTTAATACAAATTTTTAAATTTTTTGCCAATTGTATTTGCATGTCTTATTTTTAATAAAGTGAAATCTAAATATTTTTAAAATGATAATAATTTTATCATTCTTCACCAGTTTGTATCATTTCAAAGACTTTAGAGACGGACGGTTTGTTATAGTTTCGATTTGTAGAAAGAATGTAGTTGTCGGTGGGAAGTTTTCGCTGCAGTCGAAACTTTTGTGCACTTACCTATGTGTGTATTTATAACAACACTCTTTTTATATTCGAATCCAGTGCCGGAGCCAATCGGAGTTGGAAATTTTTCATCCGACTCCGGAAAATGTTGGGAAGTTAATTTTTTTTTATTTTATATTATGAAAAAAATTTTAAGTTTGTGTTTTTTAGAAGATAAATATATGCAGCAATATGCAATCATCTTTAATACAAAAAATGTGAATAAAATCACATAACTTTTTTCAGAATGTTTTAAAGCAAACTACATAATTTACTAAGAAAAATAATTACAATTACTGATTTTAAATGTTTTTTAAAGTTATTTTTTAATAGTTATAATAAGGTGAAATTGTGATGCAAAACTTTAAACAGAGAACAACAGTGAAATCTTTATTTTTTGCTCAAACTGCAACCACAAATCGTACTCTGAAAGCTAAATTTCAAATTTCCCTACTTATTGCAAAATCTGGAAAAAATCATACCATAGGTGAAAACTTTAAAATTAAACCATCAATATCAATATTTCTGAAAACAATTTTGAAAAAGGACAATAGAGATGTGAAAGCTATGCCTCTTAGTTATCATTAGCAGAATACCGTTAGCAGAAGAATAGACGAAATGGGGGAAAATGTTGAACTACAACTGGTGGAAAAACTAAAGACACTGCAAATGGACAAATCAACATTGAGAGACAGTGAAGCGGTACTGAAAGCTCATGTAAGATATATTGATTAAGGAGAATTTGCTGAGCCTCTAGAAAGTACCCCAACATCCCAAAATAGAGACAGTGAAGCGGTACTGAAAGCTCATGTAAGATATATTGATTAAGGAGAATTTGCTGAACCTCTAGAAAGTACCCCAACATCCCAAAATATATTTTACACTCTAAACAATTATTTAGTAGCCAATAATATTCCAATAAAATTATATCAAGATGTGCAGCAGATGGTGCTCCAAATATGATGGGCAAGAAAAATGGTTGCATAAAATTAATAAAGATGAAAATCCAAAAATGCTTCTTGTACATTGTGTTATTCATAAGAAAAATCTGGTAGCAAAAAATAAGTCGCCTGTTTTAAATTCCATATTATAAAACGTGTTTATTAAATAAAAGCTAAGGCCAAATACAAACGATTTTTCAAGTTATTTTGTAAAGAACAAAATGAAAATTATGTGAAGTGAGATGTCTTTTAAAATGGAATTGTTTAAAAAGATTTATGGAACTTTTTGATAGTCTTAGTAAATTTTTAATTGAAAAGCCTGAAATGCAGCATTTGTTAACAGTCGACTGTAAAGCATGTATTAGTTGCTTAACTGATATTTTTTTAAAGTTAAATACATTAAACGAGCAACTTCAGGGAACAAATAAAACTCTTGTTGATGCAAAAGTAAAGATCTAAGGTTTTATCTCTTTTTTCGAGTTAAGTCAGAATCATATTTCAAACAAAAAATTTGAAAAGTTTTACTGGCTACAAAAATGTGACTTAATTGATACTGCTATATGTGTTTTTGTTGATCATATAGGAATTTTCACGGCTGACTTCAAAGAAAGATTTTTTGATCTAAAACGGATCGAATTTCTAACTTGGCAGCTAATGTTAGTTGGTTTGGATGATATTTCAAATATGCATTATGAAGAAGAACTTGCAAAAACGCGAAACGGTGAGTCAGTTAAAAGTTTATTCAAAATTAAAGTAGCGATGGCTTGGCTAAGTGAAGAAATAAAAGTCAAATATCCCAAAACCAGTAAATATGGAGATCTGAATGAGAGTACAAAAGGGTAGTATCATCTGCAAATAAAATAAATTTTAAAATACTAGACGAATTGATAAAATCATTAATATAAATATTGAAAAGTAACGGATCCAGGATAGAACCTTGAGGGACACCATATGTAATTGGAGACAAGAAAGACTTAGAGTTATTAACAGATACATACTGAAAACGATTATTAAAGTAAGAAAAAAACCAATCATAAGCTAAACCACGAATTCCATAAGAAAATAACTTAGACATTAGAATTTTATGATCTAAAGAATCAAAAGCCTTACAAAGATCGATGAAGATACCAATAGAGTATTTTTTAGATTTTTTAGATACATATTCAAAAACTTAATATTAGAACTAGAATAATTAAAAGATAAAACAGAAGGTTTAGGCAAATCAAGACCTGAAATAACGAAAGATGTAAAAATTGGAAAATGATAAGAAAATAAAAACCAAATGACACCAGACTTATGATTTGTAATGTTATTGGTAAAAATATTATCAAGTAAAGATTTATTATTGATAGCAACACGCGTTGCACTTGAAATTAATGAATTGAAACAAAAAGAATTCAATAAATTAATAAATTGAGTTGTAACATGCTTATAATCATCATTAATTAAATTAATATTAAAATCACCAACGATATAAATACCTTTGAAAGAGCCATATTTGATTTTTAGAAGCAAGAATGTTAAATCACTCAAAAACAAAATAACATCAGAACTCGGAGGACGATATAAAACAATAATCAAAAAGTTTGTGTTAGCATTAACAAATGTTTCAACTAATAATAATTCAAATGAAGAAAAATAATATAATAAATTTACATGAAAAATTTTAAAATTATAAAAGTCGATAAATGAATTAACGTTCTCAGGCAACATTTGGGAACAAACATAGGAGTAATCGTTAAGGATATTAAGGTCAGGATCTACAATTTTAAGCAGATCAGCTTGACCATTTTGATGGAACATCAGGTTAATCTCGGAACTGTCGAAATTGTTATTTGTTGTCGACATGTTTGATGTTTATTAATATTTGCGTATTACTACTTTCTGCATTTTTTCCGACCTTCAAATACGAAAATCCCATTCACGAAGAAATGTGTACTTTGGCCAAATGTCAGGATTTTTTAATTTTGTTAATTCATTAACAGGCAAAATTATTTTGAAGGCAGTCGATTCAGCGATAATATCACCTGTATTAACCTCGGGTCTCTTTTACGCACAATTGGGAAACAATGTGTGAAAGCAATATCATTTGATTTTAAGTGATTTTCAATGACATCTTTAGTGCACGATTGAACGTTGCCTATAAAATAAGTAATTTTTTTTTCGATTACCTTAGAAGACTTTAAAGGGCAGTTGGCATCTGTGCCGAACACTTTAGAGGGCTTATTCAATTTAAAATTAGGAGTAAGCTGATTCATTTGGCCTACCCGGGGAGAAGCAGCGGATTTTTTTTTGTTCAAAACTGGCTGAAATTCATGGTCATGAGATTCACACTGGGAACTTTGAGCGGTTGAATCGTACCAGTTTTCCTTAGGCTTGACATATGACACAACTTTTAAATTCTCTGATGATACGGCAGTGACAGTGTTGGCAACATAAGAATTGGATTTTAAAACTGCGCATGGTATTGTACGGTTTGAAACAGAATCATTACCAACTGACATATTTGCTGAACATGCCTTAGCATAATTAATTTCTCTGTTATTTATTGAACGAGACGATACGATATTGCATACACTATCCAATAGAGATTTGTTGTTTACGTCCATTGTGTCAATAAAAACTTTGCGTTGTATATCCAACATGGCCTTTATATCATTTTTTATCATTTGAAAATTGCAATTAAGCTAATTTAAAACGGTTGGAATTTTTGCTAAATTGGAGCTAACAAAAACCGAACAATTATCCAACAAACCGTTAGTCGTCAGAATTTTTAGAAAATTAATACAGTCTTGTATTTTATCCTTTTTAATTATTCCACGAAATAGAAATTTTTCAACAGGTTCATTTTTTAAGTTATTAGTTTACATAATATCAATTTCATCTTTCAAAATTTCAACGCCAGCTACCACTTCTTCAACTCGATAGAAGTCAACAACGTTTGAGACAGAAACTTCATTATCGAAACAATGAACATTATTAATTAAAAAATAAAGAAAACCACTAATAACAGGTGGACGGTTCGACATGCCGAAAGAATATACATGATTTGAACTCTTGATCGAATTTCGTTGTTTGTCGGACGATTCCAAGTTATACTTTGAAAGACCTGTAAACATATTGGGCAATTCTGGTTTCTGAGACATGACTCTGTTTATCTTCGAAATATGTCTATAAATCCTTTCTGGTCTACATGCTTGTTGCAAAAATATAAGACTTACTAAATTATACACGAGGGAATTCTATTATTCATTTATTACCGACCGTGTTTTTTTATCTTTTATAATGCAGCTCTGGGAAACGCAAAGCTGTTTACATGTTATTCTGTTTTTGTAATTAAACTTTTGTGCTACAAAAACTTTACACATTATGTTTGCGTGCACAAGCGCCGCATCATAAGCGTAAGGTGATCTTTGAGTTTTGGAAAGACGGTATTCGAACCATGCCATCATGTAATAGCTACGCTAAACATGGCATTTTACCGATTGAGCTAACCCGTGATTTTTATCGGTAATCGCAATTTTCACTGGCAAAAGTTAATTTTGTCTTTGAATTAAAACTTAAATTTCTATTTAGTTGAGTAATGGCTGAGTATTGGTACAATAACTGGGCTATTAACTAAAGGTTCATTATCGGGAACAACTAACTCGTTACATTACAGATTAAACTGGGTTCGTTCCTTATGGGATTCATTGGTGTCCTTAGCTAAAGCATCATTAGTACAGCTATTTCAGTAGGTAATATTTTAAACTAAGGTGTTTTTTCAAGATAATTCACAAAATAAATTTAGTCGCCTGAGACGTACTGTTACTCTGCCGAATAAATGAACCGATAATGCACCTTGCACATTAGTAGTGGTGATCGATGGTGTATATTATGTATTAGTACCTCTGGCCGACCGTATCTTCACGCAGGTCGACAATATCATCCCTATTTTTTTTACTCACATACTATATATATATATATATATATATATTAATGTGTGTGTGGGTAGGTGTGTGTGTATAATTGTTTCAAAATTTGTATAGCCTTCGTTATAATATTGTAGTCTCCAATATATATATATATATATATATATATATATATATATATATATATATGTTGGTAATAGACCATAATTTTTACAATATTCTATAAATTCTATTCTAAATTCAAACATTAACGCCAAACATTCGGTAGAATT